ACACGAGGCCTTTGGAATATTCACAGCGACAATTACTTAAACCAATTAGCAGCGATACACGTGTTAAACAAGGAGTGATCAGTACTTATCTTCCCAGTTAAAAATGCAGATTTGCCAGTGCTGCAGGGCACAAAGTCACAGGAATGCAAAACACTGGAGAATAAAACTTCACAGGCTTGAAATCCTTGCCATTGTATGGCTGCTGGAAATACATATTAACCAAAAACGATAAAGCTGAAAGCCAGGCCAAAGGAACAAGGAAATTCTCAGCGGCGGTCACAATATGACATTCTTGTATTATGGAGACGGCGGGATGTTTTATAATGTGTGCTTAAATGTTAACCCGTTATTGCTGGGGCAGGTGCAAGGCAGTACGTACGGTTTGTGATAATCGAGCACATGGCTCTGTATGGGATCCACAGCTATTTTTTGGGGGATTGAAAAATAAATAGAAGTTGGATTTGGCTTTGGAGTCTTAAACGTTGACCAATAATCCTAGACTACCAAAGAATATAAACTACACCGACAACTGGGAAATACAAAAGTCTAAGGACTTCTGCTCGAATGCAAACTTACATTTGCTCAATGAGTGAAATTGGTGTTTTTTTAAGACAACTGTATCACCTGGTTAGGTTATAGAGTCTCACCTGGTTAGGTTATAGAGTCTCAGCAACCAACCACACCATATACCAAGCTCTATATATTCCTATAGCGGCATTTGTAAATAGGCAGCTCCTACTAAAACCAATAGAACACTCTTCATAAAAACAGACAATTGCACTATGTCGTCACTACAAAAAAACAACGCAAGGTCCTGTACATCAAAATGCAGTTCGAACACAGTTTTTCATTTTATTTACTCGCTGCAAAACTTATGGAAACTGGAAAGTTGGACTAAATCACTTAAGCATGATGCATCCTTGACGACAAAAAAAATGGCCACTCTCTCAGATTTAGGTTGGTTTTTTTTATCACGGTGAACTCAATAGGTGCCGGAATCTACCGAGAATGGGAGCGGGAGAACCCGGGGGGGGGGGGGGGGGGGGGAGCAGAGTCACAACTCATGACACCGAGATTAATGTTGTGAGTCCCAAGAGATATGACAATAGATGCCACCCGACTCCATCTGTAACTCAAGTATGACTATAGATCAGCCTTTCTCAACTAGGGTTCCTCCAGAGCAGCCTTTCCCAAACATTTTACCCCAGAAGAACCCTTGAAATAATTTTCAGGTCTTCAAGAAACCCTGACTAAAACTAAAAATTGGTAGCCAGTGGGTTAAAATGGTCCTTATATTGGTGGCCAGTTGGAAGAAGGTCGCCACTTACTATGGTGGTCAGAATGCCACCGTTACAGACAGTTAAAAAGGTAAATGGTGTCATGCAGCTGGCTCTACCAATTGGCACTGGCTCCAGAACTATGCCGGCACCATCAAATGGGAGGTCAGTCAGCCACAGATCAATGAACCCCTAGCAGCCTCTAGAGGAACCTTGGTTGAGTATGGCTGCTTCTTGAGGTTGCTAGGGGTTCCTTGAGCAAAGAGCAATTTCTGCTTCTCAGATAAGTAACTGCTGACACCAATGTTCTTTCCAGTTATCTGTAAGGGGTGTATTCTTCCAGTAGAATATTACCAGTATAATGGGGCACTACCCTAACCACCTGTATCAGATGGCACTTTTTTTACTGATCACCAATGTGATGGAGCTTTACAAATGTTCACCATCCACATTTCTTGTTATTGAAATGAAACATTTGTTATTACAATTATTTGTTTCATTTAATTATTACTACAAATACTTTTGCTGTATGAAGCAGCCCTAGGTATCAAGCTATGCATGCAAAATTCCTTATTATCTCAACTTACACACACACTCATGTACTCTGTAGACTTCGTCATTGTTAACTGAGGTACCTGGAGACCTGAAATTTACATCAAGGGTTCCTCTGCAGTAAAAAAGAAAAAAAAAAAGGGAGTTGAAAAAGGCTGCTAAAGATTATCTATGGAGTTGACACGTCCTGTAGTCTAAAGTTATCAATAATTTGCTACCATGTTGGAGATTACCGCTACCCAATTACCTTAAAGACAATGACTAATATGTAGGAAAGGTATGTGCAATGTTATACCTAATCTACAGAATATCTGCTATGTTGCTTAATAAATATACATACACACATTCCTTGGATTGGTTGATAAGAGTGTGGGGGATTCCAGCTCACTGGCAATACTGAACGCCATTATATGGGCAATATTACCCCCGAGTCCTTACAGTCTATAACAGTTATAGAAAATGTTATGTGCCCCATGTTGCTTAAACACACACACACACACACACACACACACACACACACACACACACTTAAACTGGTTTAAAATTTTAGGCAATTCCATCTCAAAATATTGTACCCCATTATAATGTTACCCCCAAGTCCTTAGGGTCTATAACGGTAATAAAAGTTGAAATATCCCTAAGTTGCCTAGTAAATAAAAGTTACACAACATGGATATATGTTGTACCCCATTATAACGTTAACCCCCAAGTCCATAGGGTCTATAAAAAGGTCATTGAAGATTATATATGCCGTGTTGCCTTATAAAAAAGGTGTACATGGATATAATATATTGCAAAATGAAACGCCATTAGAATATTACCCCAGAGTCCTCAGGGTCTATAACAGTTATAGAAGATTTTGGATGCCGTATGTTGCTTATTAAAAATATACACATGGATATTTTACAATGTTGTACCCCTTTATGTTAGCCCCAAGATATAGATAGATAGATATATAGATAGATATCGATACATAGATATAAAAAAAAATGTATAGATGTAGATATATCTATATATAGATATAAATAAATTACCCCCAATTCTAATATCACCCCTAAGTGGTCAGGGTCTATAAACAGTCAGAGAATGTGATATGTCATATTTTGTTTATTAAATATAATTTCAC